GTGCCAAAAGATATGTTTGTCTGTTTTCACAGAAAGAAAAATAAAATCGCTGGAGGGGGTGTAACCAACAGATTCTGATTAACAGCTCTGCAACCAATCAGAGGAACGTAAAAATCCTTCTGACCAATGACTGAGGAGGATTTTGTAGAAGGCGGGACTTAAATGGACTACCTGTTTATCGCATAAAAAACACGGATGAAACGTAAAGTTTCCAGCTTGTGAAACTCCTGACATAATGAATGGGGCAGCGTACTCAAACTTTGACAATCAGGAGCACATCCTGAAACTGGGAGAGACGTTTGAGAAACACCCTAAAAGCGCTTACCACACTGTACGATGTAAGTGGAACTCTGAATCAGACGGTGACGTCTGCTTTTTACTGTAGCTAGCAGTTAGCACGCTAGTTAGCATGTTAGCTAAACATCCGGACGTGATTGACACGTGCTGTAGTTAAGTCCCGACGCTTCGGTCGTTAATTTGTATGGACATACTGCTCCAGCACCATGGTAAAATCACATGTTTTGGACTAAAATGTAATTTTATTGAACTGTGACAAGCTGTCAAAACACGCGGCTAATGTTAGCACAGCGCTAGCTTGCTGTCTGTGTGTTACCGCCATCTAGCGGTAGGGACGATGAACTGCTGCACCTCCTCAAATCAAACGTGGTTATTTTAATTTATTTATTTTAATGTACCTTCAACACTAATACTTCTGGCTCCTTCTTCTTCTTCCACAGATGATTTTAAACCAGCATCCATTGATACAGCATGTGAAGGGGAACTAGAAGTGGGAAAAGGAGAGCAAGTCACCATTACTTTACCTAATTTAGAGGTTGGTTGAATTAATAAATAAATTAAATTAATAAATACTTAGTGCTGTAGAATTGTTAAGTTATGTTTAAAACACTAGTGGTATGTATTTGATATAGGGTGTGGTTTACCCTAAAACCTTATTTATGTGTGTGTTTATATTTTTGCTTTTTCATGCTTAAGTTTTAATTATTTCTTTTGTATCCTGTTTATTTTATTAGAAAACACAACCACCAAC